GACCCAACCATTTTTTAAGTCCCTTTCGGTATAAACGGTTGGTGACTAGACCTACTTTGGGTCACGATATAGGTCAGGTCGCTATCAGTCGTACGGTGTAACCGTAGCCATACTCCGACGATATATACATAAGGATAAAATGCCTATCCCAAGTTGCACTCGTATTGGAGAAAGCATAAAAAGGAATTAGAAGGCTTGAAAAGGCATGGTCAAGCCTTCGTGTCGCCGTGCGTATACATATAGTGTATAATACTGTAAGGAATCTATGGTTATTAATCCCTATTCCTCCTTGTTTAAACCTAATGCCACGACCAAGAAGACTAGAACTAAGGAGGATCAACTCGTGTGGTGGGGGTGAGTCAAAAAACGTCCGCGGCTATTCATACGATGTGCAGCGGCACTGCGCATTGTGTGAAAGTTCGATATAAGAGCGACAAAGTGACGATTATAGAACGATAGAGCGACAACTATATAGAGCGACAGAGAGGACTAATGAAGCGCAAGAGTGGGGGAAGTTATCCGTCGCCACTTTTTGCCTCACCCCCACTACCGCTATTGGCACGAGTTGACTCTCCTTAGTTCTAGTCTTCTTGGCCACGACGAAGCAACTGCGCTAGTGTCCGCCATCGCAGTTAACTGCGATGTGATTGGTCGTTGGGCCACAGGGATATATTCTAACCCCTGATTAGACCATTGAGTTACGAGGAAGAAGATCTGTTTAAATAAGAAAGTCGTTGTACAGACGCCGAACAAGTCGGACGTCTAACCTGATCAGAATAAAGGAGATCAAAAACAGAAACGTGTGTGTGGTCACCGATAATATGTTTACGCACAAACGAAACTGGCGACCCGGTATCTAACAACGCAGGTAATTGACAGTTTGTACCATTTATAGCCTTAACTTTAGGTACGGAATTGTCCATTGTTATTGCTCGAGACGAGTTCTCAGTGCCAGCCGCAACTGTTGACTTTTCTGATGTTGCAGGCGTGTCCTCTTCTGCTGCGGCGACGGACGACGTGGTAGATGAGGCAGGCTGCGTGCCTTCCTTCTTCTTCAACTTAAAGCAATTTATCTTGCGGTGGCCCTTTGCCTTGCAGTAGCTACAGATCTCATCCTTGTCGGATTTTGATTGATCCTTTTTGGAGAGTAATGGCGGAGAATTCTTGGTTTTCTCCTTCTTCTTCGCCAGAGGTGAAGTTTTCTTGGTAAAGCTTCCGAGAGAGCTTGTAATCTCGTACATCCTATCCAGGAATTCATCGATGGTGGCTGCATGCAATGCAATAGCCGTAGCTCTAAGAGATATGCTGTTTATGCTGTGGCGTCACAAAACGCCACTAACAGAGCCAATGGGGCGTGAACGCAATACGCGCCGCCCCTGAGGCGCTCCCGCGGCGCCACGCTTGGCGCCCGCCCCGCCCCCCCCCGG